CAGGCTTACTGTTATTTCATCTTCATTCTTGGTCAGCAAGTTCCCATTCCAGCTATACTGCTTTTTGCTTCAGTTTGTGTTTTTGCTGCCCTGCTCCTCTCTGCCAACAGAGTTGATCCTTGCCTGCCTCCCATCCCCACTGACTGTGAATTTTGGTTTGGTAGCCAGAATCCTAATTTCATTCTGGAGTGCCTACAAAAGCCTGGTGGAACGTTAGCAATTCCCAGACCTGGCTGGCCCTGAGTTTTGTGATGTGCAGTGAGAATGGAAACAAGTTCTAGTTGTGCTTCCAAGAACAGGCACGTTTGGTAAGGGCCGAATGTTTTCCTTCCCTCATCTGTGCCTTTCTTTACTAATCAGCTGTATAAAATTGAGAAGCAGCAGAGCTGTTATGCTGAAGAACCTGGCCCACACTTTGGTCCAAAATTTATATTCGGCCTTTTCTGTGGTTCAGTGAGGTTCAGCCAGCTTTGGGTGTTTTCTGTTTTTATTTCAGCTTTCCAGTTTCCAAGCATCTCACAAACTGGGGAGCCCAGCTCACCTCACACTGGGGTGCCTCACTTACTTCTGAGGGTCTGTGGACCCTTTGGGGATGAAATCCAAATAAATAGCTACTGGTGGGTGTGCAGGCGTGAGTCTATGACTGAGACAGTGTGGAAATGCTTTGGAAGAAGGAGACCACTTCTACAGGTATCGAATTCAGGGCCAAAAGGAATCCGCAAGTCTTTCCAAACTGTCTGCAGGTCCTTGTCTGCCTTATCTCCCTTCGTGAGCAAACATTTGTTGGTGATGGCTAGGTTTAGAGTGGCGGGGTAGATTTTGCTACAGGTGCATACTTCTTGGAGGAGATTGCAAGTAGGGTGTAGCACAAATCCACAGACATTCCAGTTGGACTTTGCATATAGCCTGCAATACTGAGGATGTGGGTTAATTGACATGATGGTGAAGGATTGATGGTTGGACTAGGGGATCCTAGTGGTCTTTCCCAACCATTATGATTCTACAATTGATAGCCTTCATCATTCTAAGCACTGAGCTATCTCTGTGGGATCACCTGGGTCTGGCTGCCCAGAGCCACACACTGTTGACTGTCACTTCCCTCCACTGCCACTTGAAAAGCCATCCTTCCTGCCCCTGACAAGGCAGAGCAGCATGTCCCCAGGGTGCTTTTGTCACTGCCATCAGTGTAGGTGTTCCAACTAAAGATAAGAGAGCCTGGTTAATGAGAATACACGGACTCATGAAGGAGAGGCAAGATCCCCAGCTCCAGTATCTAGCATATACCTTCATCTCCTTTCACCGTCAGAGGTGAAGCAGCTGGCATGCAGCCCAGCAGTTTCATACGCTCCCAGCAAGGGCAATGGCTGTGCGTTCTCTTGCTCCAGTTCTTTTCCTGTGCTGCATTCTGGTAGCCAGTAGGAGAGCTGCAATGGCAGCAGAACCATTTCTGTGCTTTCCAAATCTGCTGTCAGCTCTTTCCTGCTCTTCAGATGGGTGTGCCTCACAGAGAAGGATTTGGGGCATAAACTGTGCCTTTTTGCTCCAGCCACAGCTTCCATTCAGAGTTGATGAAATAGATTTATTTCTGTAAAAGCCAGTTTTGTTAGTGTCCTTTAAATATCATGAGAGAGGAGCAAGCAGTGCATGGTGCACTCTTGGAGCTGATGCTGAGCTCTGTGTATGTAGCCAAGGGGTGTGCAAATTCATCTGCTCAGGGAATAAAGCACTGTACTCACATGCAAGGCTCTGGTCTGTGTGATAGGTAGGTATACAAATGGGGACTGCTCAGCTTCATGCAGGCTCCAGGGACCTGCAGGCAGGCTGGGCACAAGGAGCTGTGCTTGTCCTTATCTGGATTGGGAATGGAGGTGTTCCACTCAGTTCCCACCAGCAGCAAGGGCACTGCAGTTGTTATAGTGGTAACTCCTCATGTGGACTTCCACCTCTTGCATTTAGGAGAGGGATGATGCCTGTGACCCAGTGTGGAGGTTTGGTTATTTGCTCACTGCTAATAAAATCAGTGATTCTAGAGCCAGACACAAAATTCTGCATCTTTTCTCCATCTTTGAATCCATCTTTCTATCTGTAGACCTCAGAGTGCTTTCTCCCTTACAGGAATAAACCTCAAGATTCCTTCCTACTAATGAAGGATAAAAAGGAGCAGCTGGCCTTCTTTATTCATATCTAACCCCAAATGTGAATATTTTTTTAAATGATAGCCTTGTGCTTCTTGGGCTGCAGCAGCAGGCAGGAGGCTGCAACAGCCAACCGGGAAAAGCAGCAGAACAGTTTCACCATGTGTGGAGAAAGATACCAGAACTGTAGCATTGCTGCTGCTGATGGGGTCCTGAAGGTTTGCAGTCTGAATGGTATTGCAGCTCCTCCTCAGTAAGAGATGCAGCCAGTGCTGCCAATGCTAGGACTGAAGTTCAGGGCTGCTACTGAAGCATCAAACCATATACTGCCAACAGAGTGCACTGGGGAAACAGCCATGTGCCAGCAGTGTTTGTGGGTTGTGCTGACCATGTAGGTGTCTTGTAGCCTTGTGGGGTGCTTTGCTGTTTCCCCTTGTGGGGATCTGCCTTTGCTCAGAGGAATCCCAGCAGATGCTGTGTGAAGGAGACATTGCTTTGAGCTGAGCCCAATGCTGCTGTGCACACTGGAGACGCCCTGCTCTCCCCTGCCATGTGGATGTGCCAAGCTGAATTGACTTCAAATTAAATTTCATGGTTCTGTTTGTGTACAGAGAAGACTTTGCATCCTCATCTTTCCAAAACAGCCAGTTAGGCTGTTAATCCAGATACGTGCTGTGAACCCACAGTGTGGCTAGAAGCCTGTTCCTTGTGGGGAGGGATCAATGGACATACTGGGTCACCAGTATGCAGGGTCACCTGGCCACCACAGTGTCCAAGCACACAGTGTGCTATGGGTTCTCCCACCTGAGGTCCCATAAAAATATGTGCTGGCACCAAAAAGACATTTCCCTTTGTGCAGGGATCCAGAAATAAACTATGGCAGAGCATCTCAATGCTGGGAACACACAAGCCTGGCTCTCCCATGCTGCCTGCTGGCACCTCCGGTGGGTGACTCAGGCATGGCAGTACTGATGGCACTGCAGATAGATGAGGCACTGGGAGAAGACAGCAAGTTTTCTTCCACCACAATGAGAGTGAGGGAGGAGCCAGGAGTAGCAGAGGAGGCACTGAGCAGTTCTGTCAGGCTTGTAAGGGTGTAGCAATGCTGGCATTACCTTCTTGTCATGGAGATCTTCATAATATGTAACTCAAGGTCTCGTTAGATTTGATTAGAAACAGACACCCCGAACTTTGCATTGAAACTTTGAGGCCATCTCCAGTTACAGGAAGTCTGGACATATCCATATGCAGATGTATGCAATTTGTTTCACTTCAGCATTTAGCATGACTGGTTTGAGGCCAGGGATCCTGTTCCTGGGGAATGGCAGTTACTCCTCTGGATGTGGAGCAAAGGGAGATGCATGCCATCCCTGTGGGCCACCTCCTGCCCCTCTTCTGCCTGTGGACAGCCAGTGGCTGAGCACTAGAGATGAGAAATAGAGGGGAGCCACCAAGAGTTGGCGTCAGGGCACGTGTTGCTGCTGCTTGGGAGCACTGGAGGCAGCCAACACGAAGGCATGGATGGAAATGCACCCAGCTTCATGACCTACTAAATTAAAAAAAGAAACGAAGGTAACAGTGATAGTATGAGAGAGAATGACTTCAAGTTGTGCCAGGGGAAGTTGAGGTTGGATGTTAAGAAAACCTTTTCAGAAAGAGAAGTGAGGCATTGGGACAGGCTGCTCAGGGAGGAGGTGGAGTCACCTGGAGGTGCTCAAGAAACATGTAGGTGTGTCACTGAGGGATCTTGTTAGTGGGCACAGTTGCGATGGGCTGACTGTTGGACTTGGTGATCTTAGTGGTCTTCTCAGGCCTTAATGATTTTGTGATTCTATGAATTAACAAGTATCATTGGTATAGCATGTGACTTATATACTCAATGCCCAGCATGATGAATCCTCCTAAGAACCATACCAAAGCACGGAGGATGACAGACAACATGAAGCTTGTTTGAGCACCTCGAGTCTGAGAGAGCAGCAATAAATCCTTCTTCTGAAAATCCATTACAGTGGTAGAGGCAAATAGCTCCTACACCTCCACCATCAGTGCCAGTCCTGGCCACTTTTCTGCACTAACTAGGCAATTTCTTTCTCAGAGTCCTTTCATGTCTTATCCTCCCACACTCAACTTTCTGCCTTTATGCCCAAGAGCATTAGCCACATTTCATCCCAAACAGCAGAACTACACATAAGTGATGAATTAGGCTGAATGAAGTTATAACAGAAGATAAATGCTGAAAAAAAAATAGGGATTTCCAGACACTTTGGCAAAGATTTCTGGATAAATGACCTTGGAAGTGACACTGCAAAATTATCCCAAAGGAAAGCTCCTCATAGGGTGGAATTGTTTCCCAGAAAGGTTGTTCCTGGGCACATTTAAAAGCAAGCTAATACGAAATCTTAAAAAGAAAAACAAGCAAGGTGTTGTGTTCTTTCATTGGTAAGGAGGGTTTGAGCAGAAAGCATTCCTGCAGCCTTTCTATGTAGGTTCTGCAGGAGATGAAGGTGAAGGCAGTGTTTCTCTATCCCGTACCGGACTGGGGCTTTCTGCAGGTGTCCTACAGTAGCCCTCTGTGTAGTGCTGGGCGCTGCTTTGCCAGTGGCAGTGTGAGTCCTCACAGCAGGTTGTGGGGTTGCCTGGAGTGCAACTACGATATGGGGACATGTGGGGACGTATGCTCATAGTGTAGCACCCTTTGTACCCTGTCCCAAATGCACACTCTAATTTTCCCTGTGTCTTCTCCCTGTCACCTTCTGTTCATTTCTATTAAAGGCTTTTCCCATTGTTGGAGCTGTCAGTCGAAACAGTCAATCAGCCATAAGATTTATATAAATTTTCTCCTCTTTCTCCCTCCAAACCAAACAGGTAAGGAGAGCAGCTTGGGAGAGGCTGACTTGCAGCCCAGCGCTGACCCCTCGGGCATGGACAGCAGCTACCTCAGCGTGAAGGAGGCTGGAGTGAAAGTCCCTCAGGACAGGGCCAACACGGACCTCCCCAGCCCCATGGACAAGGCGGACTCGGAGAGCAACAAGGGCAAAAAACGGAGGAACCGTACCACCTTCACCAGCTACCAGCTTGAGGAGTTGGAAAAAGTCTTCCAGAAGACCCACTACCCAGATGTGTATGCCAGGGAGCAGCTAGCCATGAGGACAGACCTCACTGAGGCCCGAGTACAGGTAACAGCAAAGCCTTGGGCTGGGATAGGGGTAGGTGAGTCTTGAGCCCCTTGTCTTTGAGCTGAAGGGGCAATGGCCTGGGTGAATCCCTCTGCCTCAGAGGGCCAGGAGAGATGAGTGGCTGTGATGCAGTCTCACAGCTGCCACCAGCAAGGTGTCAGCTCCCTGCTGCTAACCTGGGTGTCCAACCCAGCCAAACCCCGAAACAGTAGAGTTTAAGTGCTTCTCTTTCCCTTGAATCAATATTAACCCAAAGGCTTAGCATAGCTTAGAAGCATAGGCAAAACAGAGAACCACTGCTCAGAGTGGATATCTATAACTCATGTTTTGATGGCCACGTAAGGCTGCTGGGAAGCTAGAACATCATTTTGTCATCTGGTTAACTCTGTGACTCTTGTATTCAGGTGTTCATTGCACCACCACTTCTACAACTCACATTAGCGTCAGGAGTATCTGGAGTGGGAAGAAATCTGGTTATACCTCTCAAACCAGGAATCCTGCTTGCTTTCTGCTCTGAGCCCTGCAAGCATTTGTCACAAACAAAGCAGCTAGGCCAGCATCCCTGTGCATATTAATTCTAGGTTCATTCCTAGCTGCAGGACTTTTCTCACCCACTTGTCCAGACCAATCTGCAGGGCTCCATGTTCTTCCCTACAGCTGTTTCTCCTCATATCTGCTGTGGCTGTGTCTCAACAGAATGTGGAGAGGCTCCTGTTAGTTCTATGGGCTGGGGTGGGCAGTGCTGTCCCTCCCCAGCAGCACCATTCAGAGCCCTGGCAGAAGGGATGGGGCAGGATGAGATGATGGGGATTTATGCCTGGGGAATGCAATGCCTCCTCTATCTCCCTTCAGAGCCAGCACTCCGATTGCTAGGACTGCTAAGGAGATCTTTTCAGTGGTGCCCCTGTGATGCGGCAGGGGCTTGAAAGTGAGAGGGAAATGTCAAACTTGGCTGTAGAGAAATCACTGCCTTGGAGAAGAAAAAAAAAAGAAAAAAGAAAAAGCAAAGCAAGAAGTAATATATCTTGATCCCTTTTCCCCCATAAAACCCTGGGAGGCTGGTGGAAGGAGCGGAAAGACTGAGCTAAGCCTGCAGGAAATTAAACATGAAATGAAAACAAGCTCAAGTTATTCAGTTCTCTCATCCCAGGCTCCAATTTCCCATTCCAGGCCACTGATAAAATGGTGTCCAGTTTCAGCACTCAGAGATGAATTCTGGCTCTGTTCTTGCAGGCTGGAAGGCAAAGGGCTGGTGACCATCTCTGGCAAGAGAGCACACAGCCTGGCCATCAGCATTGGGATAGGCCTGGAGACAGACAAACAGCAGAGGCAGGAAGGGGTAGAGATGGGATAATGGCCACTGAAAGGGGAAGATAGGAGGGAGGATAGCTTGCTTTAATCTTTCACTTGGCATTAGGACTGAAGCAACGGGCAGCCGTGGGGAACTCCCAGGCACTAAGTGGTGTTGTGGCCCCAGCAGCCCAGGGGGCAGCCACACAGCAGCACCAGCTGGGCAGTGGGGAGAGCAATGCATTTCATTTCCGCTGTGCTGCCTCCATGGAGTGTCAGAGTGCGTGCATATGGAGTGAGGTACCAGCATATGGCCGCATGTTTATGGAGACACGAAACATTTTCTGTTCTGTAGATCTTTATAGGACTGATTGGATACATTGGGGCTTATCAAAGCACTATCTGCAGGAGCCAGATCCACGACACTTGCCCACTGTCCCTCCCTACTCGTTCACACCAGGGCACAGTGCAAAAGGAGCATTCTCGCAAGAACCCTCTCCCCACTCATAAACATAGCCCCAGACACTGCGCCCCTCGGTGCAGCACCATCTCTCAGCTGAAGGTGACAGGTAATGAACAGAAAATACACACTTGGTGTTTTTCAGTTTTATTTTCTAGATTTCTTCTTTTGGTACCTTCTGAATTCAAGGAAGCTAGGGGAAATCCTACAGGAAGATACCAAGCAGCCTGAAAATCATTTATTCTCAAGGAAAAATGATAGCTTTTAAAAGTGGAACAACTTTTTGGAGCAGTTGATTGCAAGAAGCAGTGGGGCACAGAGGGCAGGGAGCATCTCCATGCCCTGGGCCCCCAGCACCTTGCCTGCAGGTGCCCTTCAGCCTCATGGGGTCGTGCAGATATTTTGCCCCAGCCTCCCAGCTTGCACTTTGAGCCTGGTTTAAACCACTTTGCCTGGCCATTGCTGGCCCCTGCTGGGGTCAGTCCCTAGCAGGGCAGTGCAGGTGAGCGTGCTTGCCAGGAGGGATCGGGCCACATGTGCTGGGCATATGTCAGCCCCAGCACCGTGCACAGCCCACGCCACGCTGCCTACCTGCAGGCACCCGCTGTGCACAGCAGGGCCCCGCCGCCCCGGGAAGAGCCAGGTCAGCACCGCTGGCTGTGAGCCTACAGATCAAAGCGGAACGATCCCAGCCAGCCCTGGGACTGGCTCGCAGCTGGGCTGGGGTGGCCGTGCCAAGATGAGGCAGAGGAAAAGCAGACGGATGGATGCCTGGGGCACCAGTGTGCTCCTGCAGGATGCTCTTCATGTGCAGCGCTCTCAGCTGGCGTGATATTAGGACTGTTCTGCTGAACTGCACCCTCTGGAAATCCTTGCGGGGTGGAAATTGCACTCATAGGCCATCCTCAGAAAGCACAAATCCTTGTGCTGGTTTCTTCCTAGACTAGTTTCTAGCTGAGCTGACACTACAATTGCTGTTCTAGTCTGAAAGCTCACCGAGCACAGGAGCAGCCCAGAGGGGCTCCTCTGTGCTATCACTGAAGTGAGATGCCAGTCCCCCAGCTCCAGTCACCGTGCAAAACTTGAAGCAGAAGCAAGAAGCTTCCTTCATGCGCTGGCGTGACCTGCACACCCCAGCCCCTGGTGATCGCATGCATCGCTCGGTGCCTTCAAAGCAGCTCGTGATTGATGTATTTCCCTGACTCACAGGCTTCAAGAGGCTTTGAAGACACTGGGCCAGGCTCTGATCTTTCTTATGCTGATGCAAATCAGGAGCAATGCTGCTGACAACAGTGCAATAATCCACACTGATGTCAAGCCAGTAAAAATAAGAGCAGAAACAGAGTTTTGGTCTTTCCACTGCCTCAAAGGCATCTGAGCAGTGCTCTGAAGAGCTACAAGAGCTGCAAAGCAGAGGGCATGCAACTCATAGAAGTGCACTTGTTTCCAGAAGCTAAGACAGAAAGGAGCACTGAAAACCTTTTTTTTTTTTTTTTTTTCTTTTTATTTTAACAGTTAATGAAGACTGAGAGTTCAGTAGTAAATAGGAGTTCTCAGCCAACAGCATCTTCACAGCCAGGACTGAACCTGGGGAAAGCCCCAGTGCCGCAGGTCCCAGCCTGGCACAAGCACACACAGATGAGTTTGCTCCTTGTCTGAGCATGGGGGAGCTGGGTCATCCCAGGGCAGAGCTGGCTGCAGGGCAGAGGCCAAGGCTGGGCTCCTCCTCTAGACCAGGCTGCTCAAAGCTCCTGGCCCCATGGGCTCCCATGCCCTGTGCTCAACAGCCTCACACCCCTATCTCCCCACAGGTCTGGTTCCAGAACCGACGAGCCAAATGGCGCAAGCGGGAGCGGTTTGGCCAGATGCAGCAGGTCCGGACCCACTTCTCCACTGCCTATGAGCTGCCTCTGCTCACCCGTGCTGAGAACTATGCCCAGGTGAGCACATCTCCTGCCCAAATCCATCTGTCTGTTCATCACTGCCCTGCTCCTGGAGCCCCCGAAGCCATGCTTTGCTACTGGGGTTCATCCCCTGCCTTCGGGTTGGGATGCAGGAGCATGGGGTTGTGCCATTGAGCAGCAAAGGTACAGCAGTTGTTCAGGTGAGTGCCTTGTAGTGCTCCTTTGAGCCCCATTGGGTCACAGCTACCACAGCAGCCACCAAGCCCTGTTGGGCCTCAGATTCACTGTGCACTGTGTTTTCCAAACATCCCATAAGGTCCAAGGTGTTGTCCTTCCCCACGCCCTGATGCATCTCTTTCCCCACAGATCCAGAACCCCTCCTGGATTGGCAACAACGGAGCCGCCTCCCCTGTGCCCGCTTGCGTCGTCCCCTGTGAGCCGGTGCCCTCCTGCATGTCCCCCCACGCGCATCCCCACGCGGCTGGCGGTGTCTCCGACTTCCTCGGTGTCTCCAGTGCCGGCAGCCACGTGGGCCAGACTCACGTGGGTGGCCTCTTTGGCACAGCCGGCATCGGCCCCGGCCTCAATGGCTACGAGCTGAACAGCGAGCCGGACCGCAAGAGCTCCAGCATCGCGGCCCTGCGGATGAAGGCGAAGGAGCACAGCGCCGCGATCTCCTGGGCGACATGACAGGGCTGCCGTCCAGCGCCTCGGCACACCGCGAGAGCCAGTGGGGAAGCTGGGAGACCTCCAGCTGGGATTCCAGCCAGCCCTTGCCTCCTCGGGGATGTGAACGCAGCACTTTGAGCTACCCTAGGTGTATAGAGGATGTGTGTGAACGTAAGTGGCGTGTGCCCAGCACGGACATGGGAGGTCCCAGCCTCCCGGCACTGGGTCAGGGCTGTGGGGCAGCGCTGCTGTCCCCTGCTCTGGGGGTGTCCTCTGCTATCGCCACTGCCTCCCCGGGGACTTGGATGCCTTTTCTCCCTGCTCCTTTTTCTGACACCAGATCTGCCTTTCTGGAGAGCAAGAGCCCACCAGCATCTCCAGCAGCTGCCCCGTCCCTCCACATGTACAGCTCTACCCTGCTCAGAACCCATCTGCCTTGCACAGGGGACAGGATGGGGACTCTGGCACCAGCAAAGAGACTCTCTTCAGACTGCTCCTGCCTCAGGGGAGTTGTGGCTGAATGGGGTGAGGGGATACTCAAGGCCAGAAAGGTGGCAGTGCTATCCTACTTCCTTCCAACCAGCAGGAGCTGAAGTACGAAGCTTAGGGGCCTCTTGTGTAGGCACTGTGCCACCACGCTGCTGTCTTTGATGGCTCCCCAGCCATCCAGCTCGAGATGTGCATATGAAGTGATGGCACCTTGCAGAAGTCACATCCCCCTGAGCACTTAGAGTTTTCTCTGTTATAGTTGTGGCTGTTGCGTCGTAGCAAAATGTCTTCCCTGGCTTTTACAGGGCTAGGAGTCACTACCCTCTGCTCCCAAGTCCAACAGGGCCCCCAGCGAGGAACAGCTTGAGCAGAGCACTCAGCCAGGGCTGTGTGAGGGCATCCTCACATTGTCCCTAGCCTGCCCCATGTAGCAAAGTCTCTTCCCATCGCCTCTCATTCTCTGCTTCCCCAAAGCCACCTGCCAGCACCTGCCTACACCTCCTCCAGGGCAGGGGAGGGCTGGGGATCAAGGGTAGTGGCACTGCCCCATCTCTGGCCACTCCAGTTCACCCTTACCTAGCAGAGTGAAGGAAACACCAGAACTTGTTCTCTCTCCTAAAGTCCCACCAATGGTTTTCTCCCCATGTGCTCCCACTTGCACAACCCTGTTTAGTACAGTCTCCTCTCCAAGGCCAAAGCTCTCTCAAGCCATTCAGTGGCGTCATAGCACCAAGAATAATTTCAGAGTTTCCTTCTGCCCCACTGAAGGTCACCAGCAGCCATAGAACTCAGCTCACAGGCTGAGCTCCAGCTCAGTGAGCAAGAGAAGTACAGGGTTTTGCCCCATACAGCCATCGCATCATGCTCCATCCACTCTAGGTCCAGAGAGATTTGCAGCAAAGGGCTGCAAAAAGGCTACAACCAAATGCCATGATGCAGGTTAACTGCATGCCATATAGAAATATTTCTACAGTGCCTAGGCATTACCACACACAACATAGATGATTATATCAATGCTAGATCAAATGTAACACGTACTTATTGCAATATGGAAAGACCTGTAGTGCTGTATCTTGTCTCAGAAAACACACTGAGATGCCTGGCTTGGTGCTCCTCAGGAACAATTTGCAGTCAAGCAGATTATGCAGATGACCTGGGCTTTTCCACAGAAGCAAACCAGACTCACGTCCCAGCCTGAATGTTCAGCTAAGTTATCAGACTAAAATGTGCTTCAGGTGCTGATTACTGAATGGCTCTGGATCACTGCCCTAATATCTCTTTTCTGCATGCACTGGCAATAATGTTTAAACTGCAATGAATACCACCTTGTACCTTACCCCAGACTTCCTTGCCCAGAGCCCTTTTCCCACAGTGCAGAGGGAAAGGCGTCATTCCACTGCAGTGCTCAGCCCCAGAACTGAGCAGGGTGCAGCAGGTTGAGAGGGTGCATGGGGATGGATGCTGCAAGGGCGTGGGTACTGCTGGCTGTCCCACTGTGTGGTAATGGGCCGTGCTGGGGCTTTGCTATGCTCTACTGAAGCTGAAGGGCATTCCTGCCTCACAGGGCCAGGATTTCATCCAGGCTGCATAACAGCTCATGAGATGAAGAGCTGCTTCCTTTCCTCCTCGTGAATTGGCCTCAGACAACCCTAATCACTGCCACGCATGCCCAGCCCTGAGCTGCTGGGTGCACTGCAAGTGCAGAGCTCTGCTCCCGTGCCCCACTCTGCTGCCATTCAGCAGCATAGCCCCTCTGCATCTGCCATCCTGCTGCATCGTCCTGCCAGCAACAGCCTGGACATGCAGCGACGCAAGCAGGTCTCCAGCTGTGTGCATCTGTAGTTAAACATATTTTAAAATTAATTTAATAGTTTTTTTAAAACTAGCTGTTAAATTAATAAGAAAACCTGTACAAATATATATATACACACACTTAAATATTTGTGTGTATAAATATATATATTTTAATCTAGCCAAACTGCAGCCAATGCATTTTTAAGGGTCACAGGGTCAGTGCTGTTCTTGCAATTTCAAGCTACCACAAGGATGCCTTTTTAAATAATAATTATTATTATTTTAATACCTTTCAACTCTATTTATGACTTTCTTCTCTATTTATTTCTTCTTTAGTATTTCACTCCTGTCCATACACAGAATTGCAGTTCCCTGGCTGGGATTTAGATGCCTGTGAAGCTGCAAGTTTTTCACCCCTCCTCCCCAGCCATGCTGTGTCCTGCATGGTGCAGCACTGCAGCCTCAGCACCCTGAGCTCCCCTGCTCTCAAGCTGCCCTTTCCAGCCTTGCAGAGGGAGCAAAGGAGGCTGTCTTACATTGCCCAGGGCTAGAAACACATGAGACACCCCAGATTTTGGGGCTAAGAAAGGCAAGCAGGGAGAGCAGCACAGTTTCCAACAGGGGCTGATCGGTAGATGCGTGCTGCAGGCTGCCAAGTGCTCAGAGCAGTTGTGCATGTATTGGCAGCAGCTGCAAACCAGTGGTGAACATCCCACAGCTCCCCCAGTTGCTGTCCCCTCAGCCCTTTGACTCCTCTGAGCATCTCCTGCTGTGCGTGCTGGAGCACATCTGGCCCTGGGATACGGGCAGGGGCACTGCAGTAAAGCCACCCGCACGGACACCGCTGTGCGTGAGGCGGCAGAGCTGCTGCACACGTGCGTGGCACCCCCTGCAGCACTCCCCTGGGGAGAGGGATGCGGGGGGCACTTTGGCAACGGGGGCTTTCTGGGGGTGGGGAGGCCGGGTTCCATCTCACAGAGCAGAGCAGCGCCTTGTAAAACGTTCTCCAAACAAACAAAGCCAAAAAGGTAGTTTCCTGGAAAAGGATTTAAAAAACAATCAGGCAGACACAGAGATCTGTGTTTATTTTGCTGCTCTGACTGACACAACAGAAAGCAAACAGACCGAATTAGAAATTAAACCCAAATGGGAACAGGGGGAGGAATTGGGCTGAAAGTCATCCCCAGCCCTTGTTGGGCTGAGGAGGAGGCAGCCTGGTGCAGCCTGGCAACCCGCTAGCTCTTTGCTGGTGCCCCACTCCCCACATTGCTAGGTAGGTAGGTAGAGCTAGGACTTTTGTACTACTGATTTTTTGAAGGACAGTTTTCAATGTGTAATAATATATCGGTTTAGGTGTGCAGTGTTTGAAAGAGAGACTGGGAGAAAGAAAGAAAACAAACCTCAATCAATATTATTGTTTTTGTTGTAAGATATTGTAACCTTGTATAAACACAAACTTTTTTTTTTTTTTCCTTTAGCTTAAAGGCCTGGGGTAGAACGTATTAAAACAAAATTTAAAAGTTTTTAAAAGTTCAGGAAAAAAAAAAAAGAATAAAAAAAAATCATTAAAAACATTGCCATGTGAGGTTTGTGCCATGCAATGTTAATGCCTATGCAGCCATGTATTAGCAGTTCATTACAGTGGAACATTAAAAAAAGAACAAACAGACTTGCAGCTTGGTCCTTTCCATGTTTTTTTTTTCAAAGTAAGTTATTGCACTTGCAGCTTCCATTTTATTTTGTTTGTTTGTTTGTTTGGGGGGAGGGAAGGGCTGGGATTTCCGGGCACTAATTTTTATTTTTCCAGTTTTTTAAAGGGGTGCAATTGCTGGGAAGGCCCCCGCTCCCGAGCCCCCGTGGCCGCGGAGGTACAAGCACTGTTGTTGTTGTTTTGGTTTGCAATAAACTCCTTCTCTTCTCTCCTCTCAACTGGAATCTGTCTGTTTTGTTCCTGACTCATGACAGATGAAACGCGATCAGAGGGGCCTCCAAAATCTCACGTTAATTGGAGTTGGCAAAAAATACTAACAGTGCCCTTTTGAACTGCTGACACAGTGCAGAATGGATTAGCCGGGGGTAGATTAACAACAGGTGGCAGCTCACGGGCCTGCTGCCCCTGCCCTACAAAGAGATGGCCGCCAGCCGGTAGCCTGGTGCAGCAGCATCCCAACAGCCTCCCCACGTCCACACCAGCCCACATGGGGACTTGCTGGGCTGTAGGCAGGTTGAACCCCCGAGCTTGGCCTCTCCTTCAGCCCCAGAGGTTCTCCACACCCATTCCTATGTCCCACACCTCATCCTCAGGTGGGGAAAACTCCACAGCACTGGCAGAAGCAGATTGGGTAAAATCTCAGGCCCCCGCATCCAGCTGTGTACCAGAATGTGCCCCCTGTGCAGGCAGAGCTGAGGAGGCACCCAGCAAACACCAGCACCCCACTGAGAATAGCTGAGCTTTCCATCAGCTGGCGCGGAGCTCCAGCTCGGTTCAGCTGGAACAGGACTGTTTTCCATCTCACAGAGAAACGGATAACGCAGGTGCCGTTGCAAGCTTATCCATTCCTCTCACTTGGAGAAGAAAAATTCCTTCCCTCCCCAAGCACTCAAAGACAGATTCTCCAGATGTTGGCAAAGCTCTGACTATTGAGAGAATAAAGCCAGTTTCAGTAACATCCTGCTTGTATGGGTTTACATCAGAAATCGCTCCTGGCCTGAATGCTGCCAAAGAACTAAAAAGTCACCTCATTAACTCTACAGATGAGAAGCCCACCACCTTTTGCTGCAGCTACATTTTCCCACTAGCTTTACAGAAGTTGCTTATAACACACGGCAACATTTCTTGCTGGGAGATGTGGCTACAGCACCCAGGTTAACACGTTCCTTACCTGCTGAAGAATATGACTTTGAGGCAGGGCAAAGTTCAGGCAGTTTTAATGAAAAACAATTCTTTCTTCCTGTAAACTAAACAGATTTGCCATTTTTTTCTTCCTTTTTTTTTTTAAAGTGGGTTATTAACCTTTAAGCAGATGTATGTACAATAATCTTCTCCAGCATGAAAGGTAACAGCCGTGCAAGGTGCACCTCTTTATGGCCAGATGGAGCCCACATGTAAAGGTGTTGCATTTAATCTGAGGCAAACAAGTGTTTATTATTTGTGAAAGGATCTTCCACTTTCGCCTGCTTGTCAGTTCGTAACTTACTCACAGGGCAAGGACACATGCTCTGAGTTAGCAATGAGCTCCTTCTGCTGCAGCCTTGCTGAATTCCTGGATCTCATTTCATGGTCCTTTCTGCTTCCAACCTTTTCCCCTGTCTGTCTTTGTATGAAATGTGGCAAATGGGGTATTGCTCCCCACCAGCCCTCAGCTGTAGGCACCCAGAACTATCTATAGCATGCAGCTGAGACCCGGCCCTCTCTTCTGAAGAAAGGTGTCACAAAGAAAGGCCAGTGACTTTTCAGATGGCCAGACCGTCAGGCAAGAGGCAGCATTTCTCTGGACTATCATCCTTCTAAGGGAGTCATCTCCCAGATGAGCGGTAGAAAGTGAGATGTTCATCCTGGGCAGGTGAATATCCATGAGCAGCACTTTACCATCGGTCCAAGCTTTGTCATTAACTTTCCAGGTTCTCACTGCTGCACAGAATAGGGGCGGGGGTAAAAGAGCTAAGATTCATCCTTAAAAGCAACATTAACAGCAACAAACCTCAATCACACACCAGAAAAAAACTTACATGGTTCTGAATATTCTAAGCATTTCACATCTGCCTGTCAAATGATCCAGCTTTCATCTTTTTCCAACCCTCCAACCAATTGATATTTAGGCTACAAATCCAACAGATGATATCATAATAATTCTAGTATTTTCTTATAATTCTGCAGAAATAGTCACAACACCAATTATTTCTCTTTACAGATACTTTATTCCCACCTGCCCATCTTACCTGCTGTCTTTCCTGTTCACACAGTCTAGTACTGAGCACTGATCAAGATTATAGACTTAATGAAACCATGACCAAGTTGCATTGATCTTAGACTACAGTTATTGTAGAGCTGTTATTCTAGACTGAACAGGAACACTTCCTATTTAGGCAAGAAAACAGGCAAGTGGAACAAGTAAGAGAAATTTGAAGTGGAATTACTGGATCTTTTTCCAGACAAATGAAAACAGCAAATAGGCAACTTTGCAGGGAATAACTCTGAGCTGTGCTGTCTGTTTTCAGTCGGAAAACTCCCTGTGTTCTGCTAGCTCCACGCCACTCCACTTAATTGCATCAATTGTCACTGTTATCCTTTAATGGGAAACATAACTCACGTTCAAAGCAACCATGAGAAGCTGCAGACAGGGGAATCCTGAAGATCAGCAGAGGTGGGACTGCATTACAGCCTTTTCCATCAGGCTGAAATTACACAGAGTGCAGCAGGAATGTCTCTAAATGGCTTTAAGCCAGAACAGGCTGAAGCATGCTGACACTAAGTCAAGGCTAGCGGTCCTCTACCTTGGTATTGAGCTACTCAAAACTCTAAACAAACATCCCAGACACTGTAGCAAATTTGCTAAAACAGAGGCTTAGGATACCGGTGTTCAACTCTGTTTTTACCCACACAACCTCCTAAGGCCATGGGCACACAACAGCTTCTCTCCATTCGCTTATCTACAATACTAAGACACTGGTCTTATTCGAGCAGGAGGAGCGCGATGCTCCATTTGTCGTTCTGCTCATACAGCAGTGATGTGCATCGCAGAAACAGCTTTACTTACACCGTGTATTTGTATGCTCACAACAGCATGAGATACAACCAAAACACTTTCAACTCATCAGTAAACCAGAAGGTTTCTATTTCTGCTAAGCAAATGCACGTCTCCATGTATACCAAGGTTTGCAAGAGGGTTGAAGTGACTGCGTGCTCACAGGATAACTTTCAGGTGCTACAGAAAGACACAAAGTCAGAAACACATTTTCTGAGCCCAATAGTTAAAAAAAGAAGTCAGTATAGGTGCAATACTGTCTAGTATTTACTCTGCTCTTCTCAACTTTTCAAAGGCAGTTAGCAATTGGACTATCTCAGTTTCCAGCACACATTTCTTCTATAATGGCTTTGCAGAACTTTCTTTTTCCTTGCTCTGAGTACACGGAAGAGATTCTATGACAGCAAGAACTATCTGTACAGCACAGATGGAGCTAAATTTGTTTACAAACAAATTAGCGTGCTTTGCAGTAGCTCCAGCAAAATTTTAACATGTGAATCATTAAGAATTGTGAAGAAATTCATACTCACTCAGTCTTATCACTGGCTAAGGCATTTAAAATCCTTCCTCTCATTGGTACTGTCAATTTGTTTTTCTTTCTTGTGCTGTAGTCTTGTTACAACAGTAGCTTCCATGTGAATGGGCTGAACAGGAGACTTATGCAGTACTAATTAACCATTCTGAGGTTCTTCCTGATCAAAACATGTTCTACCTGTTGTAAGTATGCAAGTTACAAGACACTCATTATGGAGCTTCCAATACCGGGAAGAACTAGTTGCTGCAGTAAAGCAACTAGTGTTTGAACTGCACCCCCAGAAGCAAGATAGGCAGCAGGACATCCAAGAGCAGGAGATGGCAAAAGAGAACAATGCATGTTAGGGCTTGAATTGGCACGTCCTGCAACGAGTCAGTGGGGCTGTGAGGAAAGAAAGAGTCAATACAGCACAGGGAGAGCTGGTGATGCTAAACATGTACTCTTAAAACTTACTATGACTAGGAAGGCACATGGGGTTGTCCATCATACCCCTCTCTACGCACAGGTAGGAGGGTGTTTCATTCATAGGCTGTTTTGCACTATGCTCAGTACAGAATGTGATGGAAAAAAGTGCTGCTACCACACCAGTGAATTCCACCATTATGATGATTCAGTCAAAGCTCTATTACTGAAATCACAACTCTTCGAATTTTGCTGTCTCTCTTCACAAAAAGAGAAAGGGTCTGTTCCCTATTTCTTTAAGATAAATGCTACTGTCAAATCTTGGCAGAAAATAAGAGTAACAATGATTTGTTCAAAGAAGGTGACGGGGATATATTCATGCAGAGCAAACTTCTGCTTCAAAGAACCATCCATTCTGCTTATGGGCAAGACAAAATACCAACAGGTCTTGATGACATACATGGTAGAAATTCAAGTTCAACATAGACTTGTGTAGCAAATGAGCTACATTAGCTCAGCAATGCAATTCTCCATTGTAAATGCATTCATACTTCCTTATATATACCAGTGCAGCTCTGAAAGTGAAATACAACGAATGCTGCTTGGATTTACCTTTTAATATATCAATATTAAACTCTTTTGATAAAACATATACAATGAAAAATTAACAGTGATCTTAATTTAATGACTAGCAATAAAACCATTCCAGTTATGTAGGTACATCTTACCTTTATAGGTTTAGCATCAAGAACAATAAAACAATTATAAATGAAATGAGGAAGTAGGTAATTTTACACCTTTTTTTGTCTTCAGTCAATTGCCCAATTTTCTCCATGGCATCAGCAGAGAAAAACTACCATTTAAGTGAGATAGAGTTACTGGGCGTTTCGAGGACAGAGAATCCACTCTGACACTCTGGGATGCAGACACAAATACCTGCTGCCTTTTAACTGACCTGAGACCATAGACCAGTTTAGAAGGGTTGGTTAGGTTGTCCCCAACCAGCTGAAATCCTCCATGTCTTTTTACACTTTGAGCAAAATGTGTAATATTGGCATTCCTTAAGAAAAAACAGCTTCACAACTCTGTACAATGTGCAGTTACACTGCTAAGCTGAGATCCAAGCCCCAAAAGAAAGACTAAAATTCAAGTGACCACTACACTGTCACAGCCACCCTTTTGAAGAAAATT